TGCACCAAGAGGTGCCCCTTTCAGTTGAGCAGGCATCTGCAAGTTCTTTGCCCCATTTGTGAACTGGCCTACTTCATCCTCCTATAGAGATGGGCCACACCCTTTGAAAGCAAGGTTTGACATACTGTCCAAAATGGTATGAAACAGGCAGTGCGTACCAGTCCACAAGCTGACCAGTACGCGGACCAGCCCATTACGGATGGTATGCAGAAATATGAAATGTATGTACAGAGCATGTATCATATCTAGCCATTGTGGTCAAAACGTATCCTTTCTCGGTCGATATACAGGTATGTATTGTAGGTACTGATCAGAATTTAAATGATACAAATCCAAAACGGGTCTAGTATGACCCCAATGGTCAAATTGATGATTGGGACCTCTTTTGGGGCTTTAGATCCCCTCCTTCCCTCTTTCACTCACTATAACTCTCTCACCCCAATGTTTCTCAACAGATCTAAAAAGATAAATTCAATTTTTCCTCCTCATAACCTAAAATTTCTATTCATTATAGCTTGATACTCTTTGTTCTTATCTAAACATAATTTATATACTAATTTACCTATAAAAAACTTTTATTTTCCGACCATTTTTTTTCTGAAAACCAATGTGTACACACCATTACATGATATGCTATTACCAACCGGAACACACTGATTTGCCAAGGAACCAATTCCACTGGTTGGCACGGCATGGTGCGACGGTCCTTGTTTGAAAATAATATATAAAAATCCAATTACAAGAGAGGAAATACTTGTTACTAACAAATAGAATACTATTCTTGAAAACAACAAAAGGTCAATTTGAATTTCAATATTTATTTTCTGTTGTTTCTTTCATACTCATAATTTTCTAGTTAAAAGTTTGGGCTGATTATTTTGTATGTTGCCAGAAATTTAGCTTCTGCATCAAGCCACAGTATCAGCTATAAAGATTCAAATGTCATACTTACAAATGAAAAAAAATGAATGCTCAAAAGCGATCATCAACAGAATATACAAAAAAAGGCTTAATGAACGAAAGAAAACAGCTATCCAGATCGATAACACCAGGTAATTAATAAAGTATCAAAAGTACAATTTTGCATATTTGGCTACAAACCTCTTACTAAAGAACTTGAAGATGCACTCAACATCACGATCGAAGTACCTAGAAAAAAAATTGATTTAGGAACGGTCACAAGCATCAACCATTAAGAATAGTATCCAGTGGTTAAAAATGATAAATTGCTGATTATCTATGTCGAGTATTAAATACCATGTCCAATACTGGTTTCAGTAACCTACCAGACTAGTACACTACTGGTATACCGGATAGCATACCAATCCGTACCATACAGTATCATTGCATTAAATAATAAAATATTTGTAAATTGTATCAATATCGAACTATATGGTTCACAGCCAATACTTGGTCAGACCAACCGATGCGTAAAACCTTGACTAATGCCACAATAGTACTTATAATCGAGAAATGAACAAAAAAAAGAGACGCATACATCTTTGCATTGCGATGAGATACTGACACCATCTGAGGGAAATCAATCATGGTGACCTGTTCATTATCATCTATCTAGAAAGGCAACCACAGAACAAAATTAGAACAGACATAAAATGCAAGTGAAGAAAAAAGAACACAAATTTGTAAAGGCAAAAGTTATTATTGCTTAGAAAAAAAAAAGAAAATCTACTACAAGAGATACTAAGATTTGAAAGATGAGACAAGTAGAAATTGAACAACATATGGATATAGGACAGCCAACTAACTGTGAGGCCAACCACGTTGTATAGATTAGATTGTTGAGAAGTTAGAAGATGACATATACAAAAAGTTAGTGTTTGCAAAAGTAAAATTGTTGAGATGGAAGGGTGGGAGAAGATAAAGTAAAGAATTCTTATACACATGAACAATCAGATATAGCACTAAAAAAGTATAAATTGAAAACAAAAACTATTTAGGACACTACATTCATGTTTGAAAAAGGCCTACATATTCCCCCAATTAAATAAAGTGAGCATGATTAGAATTAATGGTGTGAGAAGAAGCAAAGGGAAACCTAATAGAAAGTGAACTGGCTTGCTCTTACTTCACCAAGTGATATTATCTTAAATAAAGCTCAGTGACAAGAAAAGATCTATGTAGCCATCCCAAATAATTGCTACATTATGGATTATTGTTGTTTTATTTTTTCATATAAGAAGACCAGAGATATGCAAAAAAATATATTGCCAAAAAACATCATAGTCTCTTTTTCCAATCTGATATCCAATTTGCCAAAAAACCATCATAGTCTCTTTTTCAGTCTTGTTTCAAAAAAATAAACATCACTCTAAAATATATTCACTTTACAGTTAAGTCATAGACCAAAAAAAAGGGAACAATTATCTGGCTTTACAAAAGGTTCTTAAATATTTGACAAAAGAAAGTGTAGGTCCTTGTCTGGTAATTCATGGGAATGACGATTCCTTTGTTAAAGGGCACCAAACTATCGGAAAACACTGCATACTTGCAAATCGAAATTCACCAATATAGTTTCCATCTAACACTCATTAGTACAGAAGATCACCCACAAATATCCAGATGAACACAGGTCAGTTGCCAGAACTTCAATTAGACAGTTGACATATTTGACACCCTGTAACCATTTGCATTTTAAAGTTATAATCAAGTCGTGCATCTAAAAAGCAAGGACAATTTGGAAGTGCCAAAATTATGCCCGAACCATCATGATCTACAATCCTTCCATGCTCACATATCAAAGCTCAAAAAAAATTTAATTGAGCTAAAATTACAAGGAAGGCCAGACAGGTCGATGTGACACACAAATATTTGAAAATATTGCATGCCCAGATATGATTTGAAATGCACTAACTAGCATGTTTATCCTTGACGAAATGGAATAATCCAACACAAACTAACTAGCTTTACTTTAAGGAAAAAAATACAGTCTACCCAACCTGTGGTAGTGTCTGACTTCACATTTCCTAACTATGATTTAAAAAGTGATAATCAACCGAGTTTTGTTTAGGTGGTCTTTGTTTTTCATATCTACAGACATTAAGGTCTTGCTTCCCCATTTCAGCCTTAAACTAGTCAGCAGCCCCTACTTAATTAAAAGATATAAATACAGTTTCATCAATTTGAAGCACTGTCAACTCTTTTACTGATAATATTGGTGAGGAAGAGCTGATAACACAACAGATGTATCATTCACGTTTTGAATTTGATGTCATGTGTATACTAGAAAACCCAAGGAACAAGGATCAGATCTCATGTGGGCTAAGTATTCCTCCTCTAATCACAGGTAAGCACTGGTAACTAGTGTCACACTGTAGGTGGGTAAATTGTGTTCCCCACCCCCTCAAAAAGAAAATACCTATACCTGTACAATTTAAGTAGGGACAAAATATTAAAAAACAAATATCAACTGTGAAAATGGACGTCCAAGTCATTTTGAAGTCAAAAGTGTTGACAAAGAAATTTGACATAATTTGGATCAGATATTTTGAAAAAAATAAGTACAGAGAAGCTAGTGCTTTCCTCCACATCATTCAAGAGACTATCAAGAAACATCCGTACCATGATATTAAATTCATTAAAATCGCAATGTATAAGACCATGTTCTGCTAGACGAACAACAAGACCAACAATTGTTTCCAATACTTCGTCTGGGTTCTGCAACTGTTTCACTTGGACACTGCAGACAAAAATCCCAAGTGAATAAAAGCCTCCCTAAACTACAATGATAATTATAGAAGTCAGTGTCATGTAGAGAAAAGCAAACACTCATGCCTCCCCGGAAGATCCTTACAGTGGATAGCCTTGGACAAGGGACATGACTACACAATGCCGATTACAGTCAACAGCATCTGGCACAGGAAATCCATGCTCTCCTAGTGCCTTCATCCACAGAAGTGAACAATGTCATAAAGACAAAACAAAAATTCTAAGAGGAAAACAGTGTAGAAAGAACTAGACCTTCATGAAAGCATATTCCTTGAGAGCAGCAAGCCGTGACAAGTAGAGCCAGTTGTAACTGCTCCGATGCTTCAAATAGTCACGCTTAGACTTCACAGCCCTGAATGATACTCTCCCCAGCCTATGCAGTTTCATCACCATAATTGTCCCATCTTCTGCGGCTACCTCAAAAATGTCTTTTGACATAGATCATAACGTTTTGATCACAATTATCGCAAAGAGAAAAAGCAAAGAAGAACGTGAAAACAAATGAACGCATTACTAATCTAACAAGAAATAGAATACCAGACTCCTTCCCTACGCCAATTTGACGGCCTACAGCAGCGACCACACCACGATTGACAAGTGCTTTGATAGCGAGGAAATCGTACCCAAGATATGTGAGGCGGAAACCATCATCTGCACGAAGAAAGGCAACAAAACAAGTAAATTCCACGTATTCGAAATTGAAATCCCTGACTTCTAGTGTACTCACACTTGGATGAATCGTGGTGCACGAGTTTATGCTTCAACAGATTCTTCAACACCTTGTACGTCCCCCCGTGCCTGAATCGCAAGCATCAAATCTCAATATTCGTCAATACCATAAAAATCGATGTTTTGGAGGCTTACTTGAGGCCGGCTATACGATCGACGAGCTCGGCTGGTACGATTTCGTGCTGAAAACACAGGAACAATTCGTGAAAGTAAAAAAAGAAAGTTCTTTTTCGCTCTTTATGGATTCAATGGAATGGAAGAGATTAACATACGTTTCTCATGCCCATCTCGACGGCCGTTAGAACCCTAAAATCGTCCTTGGAAAGGTACCGCAGAGCGTCCACGTCGAGCTTCATCGCAGCAGGCGGCGGTGATGGTGGCGGTCGTGACGGTTCTGACAAAGAACGCAGCGGCGGAGATGTGGCGACACTGTTTTGGTTCTCTCGCTTAGGCCGAGAGTTGCCGGGTCTAATGGGATGGGCAGCAACAATTAGGGCGTGCGGTAGAGTTGCGAATTAGGCCGGTTGAACCTCGGGCCGGGCTTCAATCGACCGGATTGGGCTAAGATTAGCGGGTCGAAAAACCCAAGCAACCTGATCCGAGTTAGCCTGCCATGCATTATAAATTATTCTTTTAAATATTTCTGTTTATTTTATTCTCACATAGTATCATTTATTTTGTAAAAGACGAAATTACCCTCCTCTGTCGTTGCCCCGTCGCGCCACCGTCCCTCGAGGCCCTGCCCTATCGTCCCCCTCCCCTGTCATCGCCCCGCGACGCTGTCGTCCCACGAGACCCTGCCCACCACCCGCGAGGCCCTGTCATCCCCTTCTCCTGTTGTGGCCACCTTCTGCCCCGATGTGGTTACCTCCACCCTTGCGAGGCCCCAACCCTGTCTCGTGAGGCCCTGTCGTCCCCCTAATTGGGCAAATTCTTTCTACGAGAATAAGTGGTGCCGTCAGACTTGAAGAGGTCGCAGTTGTGCTCGGAGGACGGCCCGGCCTTTTGGTTCTCGTTGAAGAGGGCGAAGTTGTAGGCCCAAAACGACGTCACCCTTCTGCATTACCACCGGTTGAATCAGCTTGCCATTGTATCGTGCTGCGTTCTCCGGGCCCCGTCTCTGACTCCTGCACCCCGACCCTGTCGCCCTTCAAGGAAGGCGACGCTACGACCGCAATGGCGCGGTTGGCGTAGCTGAGGTCGGCGGCCGGGTCGGTGAAGGCGACAGACACCGGGTCGAGGAGAGTCTCTTCAAGTGTGACGTCGAATGGATCCTTCGCGTACACGAAGTAGGGGTAGGCGTTGACGAAGAGAGGGGAGCCAGTGTCGGCATGGAATGCGAGGAGGGGTAGATGTAAAGGGGGAGGTCCGGGCGGAAGACTACGTTGGAGGGTTGGTAGGACGGTGTGGCGAGGACAGTACGACGATGTCGCGGTTGAGGCCAAGAGACGTGAGGGTGTCATGGAGGTCGTCCATGGCCGGGACAAGGAAGTGGGTGAGGGCAGAGCCATTGGCACCAGTGCGGACGTCGTTATCGACTATCGACCGCCACGATCTTGACGGCAGGGACGAAGGCCTGGATGCTGCGCAGGGTAATATTGTCTTTTAGATGGTGAACTCAGGGTGTTTTTGGGAATTTTCTCTCTATATATAATAGATACACATATCCCTAATAAAATCATTATTTTCATATTTTTCACTATAAATTTATTTTTATATTCTTATGGAGATTATAATGTATTTTCATTAATTTTTGTTTAAATTTGGTGGTGCTACACATGTTATAATTATGAATGTTGATCCAAATTTGAGCTTGATGACCCAATCATGAAATAATTTTGCTTGATGAGACAAAAGAACATGAGATAGACATTAGTGTGGATGAATAAATGGACTGCAATCACAAGTTTTTCTTTGTTTTTTTACAGATAAATGAGAACCTGCTTCATCAAGAATAAATGAGAACCCTCTTTTGTTGAATGTAAATTTTGAAGGAAATGTTATTGCCAATTGATTGCAAGTGAAATGCTTGTGTTTAGCAATCCATCACAAAAATAATAATAATGATAATAACAAGACTATCAAGCATCTGAGGCCTACTTAGATTTTATATCATGGCCAACTCCAAGGAGATTGGTTAGATTGGATGAACAGTAGAAATTTGATGATGCAGACAAGACTTCTTCTGAAACAATGACCACATTTTGCCACTTTACTCTGCAATTGAACATTATTAAGAATAGATTTGAAACAAATTACAAAATCTGCGCAGTTGGCCAATTTCATGTGCATGAGAAAGTTTCAGCACATTCCAAGTAGGGGGAGGTGACATCCTGGGCTTGTGAGGGCATGTAAGCCATGAACAGTAGCACAAAAAGCAGACCTATTGGGATGAACAGCAACAAGAAAGGGGGTGGAGGCAATGGTGGCAATATAAGAGGAAGAATTAGCAGTGAGACTGTGAGGCAGAGAAGGATAAAGAAGGATTCCACAGTGTAATAGCTTGAATGAAATCTTCTTGGGGCATTGGCTTGTGATTGGGACCTCATGAACTCCACTCTTGGTCTTTCAGTCAAAGTTCTCCTTTCTCTTCTTTCCATTCTACCACTGTAATAAGGTTGCAGACCGCAGAAAACCTCGACTCAGAGTGCAAGTGAAATGCTCCTTCAGTTTCAGACTTTTGATACAGCTTTCAGGTTCTTCACAAGTCACAGAGTCTCAATCACCAAAAAGTTTGCCTGAAGATTGGGAATGCAGATCACAATATATCTTTAGAATTTGAAGCTCACAAAGCATTCAAGCAAATAAGATTCGAAATAAAGCCTTGCCACTGAACTCTGACTTTAACTTGTCAATATGTTATACAATGAATTCATGACTCAAAGAGAAGCAGAGTTCTTCATGAACATGTGATGTGACAAAAATAGGTAGCAAGTTTATCATCTATTAAGAAAAAGATTATCTTCATGAACATTGTAAAGAAGTTACCTAGGAGTTCCAATAATTCTTCACAGTTTAACATCAAATGCTTTGATCACAGGCAAGAACACTGTGAACATTTACATCACAATTATTTTTTCACTCCAATCATTCCCAAAATACTAAAAGAAACAAGATCGAAAAACCATTACCTGTCTGATTTTGCAGCACCTTCCTAAATGTGCTTCAGGAATTTGGAGCCCTTTGGCAACTCAAAATCTCAACTCTCAAAGATCAAGGAACATATGTGAGCCCTGGGTGTCTTCTCTTTCTCTAAAGGAAGCAACGGAGAGATGAGAGAGGGAGGCAGTGAGATTGGCAAGAGGGGTTCTGATCATGATATGGATGAGGTTGTCTTGTTCATGGGCAAGGGCAGCTGTGTTTAGGAGACTTTTGGGGTGGATACACTGCATGTCATCATACCAGAAGTAAGCAAGTTTGGACTTCCTGCTTCAAGTGGAAGGAGATGAGGTGTTGTGACATGAAACACATTTTTTATCAGCAAGTTTGCCTCCAATGGAGCAAGGTTCCTCCCCCCTGGCCTGCTTCAAGTGGAATGCAGATTATGATCTGCATTTCTTTTCATGATATGTTTCCAAGAAGATTAATTGGACTTCCACATTACCTTAATCATCTCTGTAGATTCTGTTGTTTCTATGTCATCAAAGCCTGCAGCATCATGAACTGCTACATTGAGGTGGTACTGATCTTTCATATATAATAATATCTCTATTATATATAATAAGGAAGCATTCGTAAGCCTCGAATGAACTCTCCTCATCGAAATCCTTATTATATCATGTGTTAGTACATCGGTAAAGATCAGATCTGTATCAATCCAGTCTATAAATCCGATATTCGAGACATCGAACCTGGCCAAAACAACAGGATTAGTTTCCTACATAAAGATATCGAGTTAATGCATGTAAAACAAGTGAACATTGCCAAATGAGTGCGTGCGGTCATGAATTGCTGCTGAGGTTGAGGACAGATCAGTTCTAGGCCTCGAGAAGTGTCAAAGATGCCATGACTGAGAATGAAACACGATGACCGGCATTGAGCCACAGGGCTTCAGTCCCAAGGGGAGCTCCCCCTTGCTCCATGAAGTGAACATGGACAAGGCCAGTTCACCAATCCTTGAGATGCAGACCCAGAAGACTACAAAGGCCGCCTTTTGGAATCCCAAGAGATATCCATCTGTCTGCAATCCATTAAAATACTGCAGCTGAGACAAGGACTCGGATTTGCCATGGCAAACGCATCTTTGTTGAGTATTTCCATGATTTGAACAGAACAAAATCTCAGATGAGAGAGAAAAGGAGAACATGGAAATCAGATGCCTTGGTTCTTCCTGCTCTGTGGAGAGCTTTCGCAGATGCAAACTGAGTGAATTACTCTTAGCAGCCACTATTAATGTGATATGTTTTGGAGTGAACTTTCTCGTGTTGTTGGAGAACTTCTGTCATTCGATTTGTAACAAAGAGAAAATATTACATGATTTATAGAGGCAGAGTTTGATTTGTCTTTTCATATTCACAGGATTTATCTTAAATTAGGCTGAAGCTTGAAGCCCCACCATTGGTTATATTTGCTTTCTTCCTTACTAAACAAATCAATGTCATAACATTAATCTTTAGTACATCAAATCTTGTTTGTATCATTTCATGTGCCAAAGCCAAGTTGAGATCAATCCTCCAATAAAGAATCAATGCCTTGTTTTATTCATTGTTTATTAGCTTTTGTGTTGTAAGTTTGAAGGTTTTGAGATCCACATTCTCTTTGAAGCTGAAAACATCGAGTCATTGTTGAAGTTTTGTAAAAATGGATTGCTTGTAATGGTAGGACAATAATAATAATAATAATAATAATAATAATAATAATAGGAGTATTATATCAAGACAATCTTAAGTTATCTGTGATCAATGATAATGGATTTTAAAGATTAATGTTCAAACCTGAAGACTTGAGTGATGTCTAAGCCGAAAAATTTTACAGACTGCCAAGCAAATAAATAAATAAACACTTTATTTAGTAATTAATTTGTAGCATACTTTTATAATACCTTTGATCAAACAAAAACAAATCCCTGAAATATTGCACTGATTGCTTATTAAGAATAGAAGCGAATTGTATGACTCTTTATTGAACTAAAATTTTTTTGTGTTCCCTCATATGAGGAAAATACATGGATCAAAACAGTGACTTTGGCTCCTAAATTTTTTGTATGCCAATATTTCTCTATAAATTTCTATTCCTTGTTTGGCCAAAATTTAATTAAATTCGACAACAAATCTGAGCTAAACTATGTGGAGGAATTATAGGATGCTATCATCTGGTATGACTGCATTCTTGAGGACAACAACAATGCCTCCAGATATGATGTATCCAGATGCCTCTCTGTCACACTCTTGGACACCATCTTTGTTTACAATCTGCAATCATCAAAATAGAACCAATCAAACTCATATTACAAATATATCTGTTTATGATGCTCTGAATGTAATACTGCAATTGCTTGAGAATAAGTTTCTGATTTCTGGATTTACTTGTTACAGTCTGTTTCAGTGTGTAGATGAAACATCTTTTGAAAGCAAAATATTTGCGATTCATTCGCAAGGAGAATTTACGAACTTGATAGGCTCGAACTGAATAAAAAGTCTGAATTTTCTTTACCTTGACATTCTTTCCTATCCTCGCGTTCTTATCAATTATCGCGTTCTGAACATGAGCCTTTTCACCAATTCCAACTGGGATTTCTGAGCGTTGCATCTTTGTCGTGTTCCAACTCACATCTGCCTGTTCAGCAATCGAAAAAGCTTTGATTGGTGGCAACAAAATATGAACTTGTGAATTTGTGTGAGAAGATTAATCTTTTTCATAAGGTCAAGAAAACATGGAATTATATGAAATAAGTTCTCAATCTGATGTATCCATACAAATAAGCACAACTATACTGTTTAATTTGTCTCTTTTGAATCTTACAGAGGGCGCACCTCGTAGATGTCACTGCCCATAACCACAGATTTCTTGATCACTGCATCATCACCGACATATGTTCGCGTGCCAATCACAGAGTTACTGATCTTGCACCTCTACTCTTAACATAATCAAACATAGAAGGTTATAGCCTGGTTATTCGATCATAAACAACTATCTTACAAGTCTGTAACATGTGCACACAGATGTAACTCAATCATAAAACAAGCACAGATAATTATGATGGTCTTGTCTTCATAATGGATCGCTGCAACTATACGAAACGAACACATGAATCAATCATACAGTTGTAGTGCTATAATTTGCTTTAAAGTTCTTGATGATGATAGAAGCTAGTCACCTACATTTAGGAGGCAACCATCACCAATAATGCTGTCCTTTATGAGTGCATTGGATATTGTCGTTGGTGGCAGATAATTTGGCAATGTGTAGATTGCAGGATGCCTGCCATGGAAGCTGCAACCAAGACAAGCTTGTCAGCAGAACAAAAGAGAGAGATGAAACTAAAGCTGTTCTCTTGTTCTGTGAGCAGAAGAACTAACTTGGTGCTCATCGATCTAGTTATGCTCTCTATATTGACCTGGTAAAATGCTTCGATATTTCTGAGATCATTCCAATGTCCATCAAACATATAAGCATGAACCTGATCCATGAATAAGATAATTATGTTACAGCAATGGAACAAATCAGTGAGCTGAAACAAGAAGGTACCAACCTTCATTCCCAAGGCAATTGCACCCTGTAATACTTCTGTTCCAAAATCATTTGCCTTTGGTAGCTGCTCCTGCAGAAGTTCGATCAAAATATCCCTTCTGATGACATATATCCCCATGTTCTCAGCATTCGAAACCGGGTATTTTGTTGTGGTTGTGACCTTAATCCGAAAAAACAATGATCACTTAGTTCGGCACATAGAAAGCCATTGACATATCTTGGTTTCTCTTATTCATAGAGCAATGAGCAGTCTCTTGCTCTGATGAAGGATGACAACTTACTGCTGCAGATGGACTGTGAACTGAAGCTGGTGCTAACATCAGACCATGAAACTGGTTTTTGCTGGTGTGCAGAAGGAAATCATGACTTGCATCGTAGTTTCGATCGTTGTTAGCCATCGCAATAGTTATATCTGCTCTGTTATCTCTGTGAGCCTTGATCAGTTTCCTGTAATCCATCTCGTAGAGATGGTGACCAGGGAGAACCAAGAAATCCTTCACCTGATGCTCTTCCAGCAGCCACAACCATCTCCTGACCGCATCAGCATTTCCCTACGATCACAAAAGGCAAACTCTGTGCATCAGTCTCGGTGCTCTCAACAACATCAAGAAGATGAAGTAGAAGATGAGGATGGTGCATGTTACAACAGACCTTAAACCAACTGAGGTCCTCAGCGCTCTGATATGTAGTCAACACCTCCACAAAACCATCCTTCCCCAGCTTAACATCAGAATAAGCTCTCGATATGTGAGAATTTAGAGAGGTAGAGTTAAACTGAGTTAGAGCATACATCTTCGTGATGTCACTGTTGATGCAGTTGCTCACCACAAAGTCAATGATCCTGTAATGTGCAGACACGGGGATGGCAGACTTGGATCTTCTCTTGGTCAATGGGTACAGCTTTGTCCCTGGCTCATCATCACATATGATTGCCAACACACTCTGCCACAAACCTCCCTCATCGTGAGATCAACAGCAACACGAGGACGAAGAAGAGAGAAGAACTTGCCTGATTCAGAGGGGGGAACAGGGGCGAGTCCTTGTGGGATTGGCACAAGGTGGTGTCCATCGTATCCAAGAACACATGAGGCTGCCTCCATCGTTTTCTCTGGGTGTTCAGATCGGAGTGCTGCATGGAGACGGTGGTAGGCCTGCGAACCAGGGAGAACGAAGGGGCCAAACGCAGGATCACCATGGCAGAAGAGCTTGCCGTTTGCCTGCCTCTCTGCCATGGCGATCGATGTAGCCATATTATATCTCCAGCAGTTGGAGTAAAAAGAAGCCATGGAATAAGTAGCTTTCCTTCTTCTTCATGCACACTGCTTGCTGTGGATTCTATCGGCTTTATTTCCTTTGTGGGGACATTTACGTGCAGGTGCTGTGTGTTTCTTTTTGTTCTTCTTGTGTGCATATTTCTTTTATCTGCTTCAATAAAGATTGAGAAAACTCGAGTGGCTCGATCTACCTTTTACTGTGGTTCTCAACTTCTTCTTTTTATTGTAGTTCTTTCAATCTATTTCCAGAATCATCTTTTCTTACTGTGAGAGCTGATGCTGCCATGAACAGATGGAATAATAGTTCAAAGCTGTGGAGACTCTGTCACTTTTGCTACATCATATGATGAGTGATTTCTCTACAAAAGAGCAAGTTTTTTTTAGAAAGATTTACCATAGATTTTTTTTTATTTTTGAAAATAGAGATGTGATTGATGAGTATAACTTAGTTCAAAAATTGGTCTAACAATAACAAAAAAAAGATCTTTTTTACATATTATTATCTTTACTGAAGTAAATCTTTCAAATACCAAAGTAAACATATAACATAATATACTTTTCTTTGTTAATATTTGTATTCTTTCACACCTCAAAAAATAGTGATTTATTATTTTCACCTCACAGACTGATTGAATCGGCCTGCAATGAGTTAATCAGTTTCATCAAAATATACTATTACGATGATAATAAAAAATATTTCCAAATATGTTGAAGTAAATATATTAATATCAAGATAAATACGTAATTTAAATATTTTTATTTAACAAAATTTATATTTTTCAACATTAGATATTAGATTATCTTGCTATCAATATGAAAACGTCGAACTAAATTAGCTAGTTAAGATTAATTCTCGTCTTCGTCGCTTATCTTTATTATTTATGCTCTACATTAATTCGTCTAAGATAAAATATTATAAGATGACACCTTAAAATATAAGAATGAATTACGATAATATGAATCAATAAATCAAGATGAAAAAACCAGGAATTGCCTGAATCATTCTAAGGAGGTGAAAGGGAAGGGAAGAGATGGGCAACCTGAAAAGGCAGCATCAACCCAACACACAGCACCCTCCCAAGAAGCAATCCTCTCACACTTTATGATGATTGTGATGACATGATGAAGGGTGGATTGGAGAGTTCAAGAAAGAGAAGAAAAAAAACCTCATCAACAAAGCTTGTGACTTCAGTTTGCAACAAAGCTTCTTCCCCCCACAGCAGTTCTGCACAGATGGAATGGAGTGGTTAACAAGATAAGCATGTCCTCACATGCACCCATATGTTTTAAGCTTTTGCCAACTTGTAAAAGTTGATTAATCTGGATCTTTTCTTGTTGTTGATAGGACAATGATACCTAAGCTCCTACAATCTTTTGAGATGGCTAAATCCAGTTCTTGGACCAGTCTGAGAATGCCCACTGAGCCACTCATGTCACCAATCAAAGAGTACTAAAGAACAAAGAAAAACACAGCAAGCCATAATATCTCAATTATTTACAATATATCACATGCATATTTATCACTATTAAGTTCTCAAATCAAGAGTATTTAAATTTTTTATTTATAATATTCATTAAAATATGTTTAGGTCTCTCTTTGTTTCTCACTGCATTGCTAATATTAGTTGTCCCAACTAATAACTTCCTAAGAGAACACATATATTTCTCCTTCATTTTATTTTGTAGTGGAGTTACACCTTGTTATTAATAAAAAAATTTATTCTTCTTAGGAATTTCATATATCCATCTCAACATTTTTATCTTAGAGACATTAGGTTTTTGTATATACATGAAAGGTAATATTTTCCTTTAAATGTAGGGATATTATTCCTTTTTATTTGATGAAAAATAAGAAATCAAGTGATTGAATCACAAGGTGGGTTATATCTACATCAAGTTTAGTTGTTTTCTTTATTTTTTGATTGAACTATATATATTCAACTCAAGTTATAATGAACTAAATTCTTAGAGTGATTTATATGTTTTCTTAAAATTATTTTTTTATTTTTTTTATCGAAAAACTTATAGCAATGCTAGTAGACTTTTTTTTTTATTGTGAAAGTAAATTGATTAGTTGGTAGATTATTTCATATATAAATTTTGTATATTTGAAAAAGGAATTTAGAGAATGGGGCTCATATGTTGGAATTGTGAGGGAATCACATAATAACATGAGAAATTTCTTCTAATGATATTGGATAAATAAACATTGTGTCTAAGAAAATAGAATAGCTAAATATTTTGTGGACAAACAACACTAAAAAATAGACTATGAAGGGAAAAAACTTATATAAACCCATATATAAATTTTAATGAAAATGAAGAACCTAGTGCAAATAAGTAATCATGTTTTTTTAATGATGTAAGGTGAGTAATACACCATCATTTTTATCATTAATTAAACCATAAATAAATATCAACGAAAATCTTTGAAGAAACTAGTGCAAATAAGTAATCATGGTTTTTTTTTTTAATGATGTAGGGTGAGTAATACACAAACATTTTTATCATTAATGATATAAGAATATTCATTCTAACATACACATGATCGCATAATCAACACAAAAGAGATACGATCACTATCAATCATTTAGATGGACATCAGCCCAATATAAATCATCCATAGAATATTTCACTCACATCATAAAATATTATTTTTCTATTATACTTATTATAAAAAAATTTATTATGACACAATAATTGAGGTTAGGTTAGTTACTATTTTATTTAAATTTAAAATTTTATTTTGTAACTGATTAGAGCGTCATATGGACAATAATTCATCCAATCTCAATTTTTTTGTGTTAGTTGACGTTTTATCGACCATTTGAAACATTTTGACTGTACCTAAAATTCTTGTGTATCTGAGCTTGAACTAAGTCGGGTTGATGCTAGATCATTGATATTTTTTATATTATTTTGATCATAAAAAGAATGACTTATATCGTAAAAATATCATCGTATTGACTCGCTAAATGAGCGTTCTGGTGAGAACGTTTTGCTTTCCACCAATTGCATCTTCACCATAGTGAACAACAATCCATACTTATTATGCTCGAGACATACTCTTATCGTAGATTTTCTTGAATTTCACTTAACAAATTTAAATGTTAATCAAGATGATATAGTCAATCTCCCAAATTACTCAACTAGTCCGATTAATGGTAGCTCCAACTCCCAATTAACAATAAGAACCCAAGCATTAATCAAAGAGGACATTATATACCAATTAAACTCCAAATGTTGCAATAGATAGGTTCTAATATAAAATTCGAAATTACAATTCGGTGAAATATTGGGTGTAAACAATCTCAAAGCGAGTTCTCCACTATGATATTCCCTCTCACTACTAAGTTAAATTAGGCATATATATTTTGGATTATTTTAAAAAAAAGATTTTTATTTTTAACATTTTCATTTTATTTTTATTTTTTCCATTAATTTTCTTATTTTTTTATCCCAAAATATCATTGACATGACAGATCCTTTGTATTTGACAGTTCATTAATCCCTCCCATAGACTTGTGGACCGATCGGTTCCATGCAAAAGAGTGAAAGTATTAAAGATAATTTTGGTTTTATGAGCTAATTTCTTAATTAATGAGATAATTTCTTCTATTAATGTCAAATCAAATATAATAACATATCATTAAGGTTTTATGAGATAAATTAATGGCCAGAGCCGGTTGACGAATGAACGGCTGAGATGTTATATTGGATAATGGAGGGCCCGATTTGTTCCGTATCATCCGGAAAATTCCTCGGCCCGAGTTTTGTCCCGATCCAAAATCTTGACCAGCTTTAAAACGAGTCATGGCGGAGTCGTGGGGGTTGGCTTCGCTCGTCTTTGCTTGCTCTCCCCTGCGCGATTTCGAGCGTCGACATGGAGAAGAGGGAGGATCTCAACTCCATCCTCCCATTCCTCCCCTTGTTCCTCCGATCTTCCACCCTCTTCTGGCCCTCTAAGGCCCTCGAAGCCCTCAAAGCCCTCGCCCTGGGCCCCGCTGTCAGCCGCGTCCGCTCCGGCGGGGTCCTCTTCGACGCCATCCTCGACCTCAGGGACTCCCTCGGCCTCTCCTCCTGGGAATTGACCCCACGTACCGCTTCTGGATACGCCCTCTTCTTTGATGAGGTCTTCTTCTTTTTCTTCTCCTCCTCTGTCTTTGAGGGTTTCGGGTTAGTATGCAGTTTACCTGCGAGAATAACCGAATTTTTAGTATGTGAATTGACTTTCTTTTTTTTCCTTTCGTTTTGGCAGATGATGTCTGGGATGGATTCGAGGGTGTGGTTCGAAGAGGTCGTTCCGGGGATGGCTAGACTGTTGCTACGTTTACCTTCTCTCTTAGAAGCACATTATCTGAAGTCCGACGAAATGTTTGGTGAAGGAAAGGCTGGGCTTCGCTTCATGGGACCTCAAGAACCAGGCTTAGTGTTTCTTAATCAGGTGAAAATTTTTAAATGGTCAACCCAACGATTGAGTGTTCCATTTGGTTTTTACTCAGTCTTTCTTCTCCATTGTGGTTTTTTCCGTGATGTTGAGCTAAATGGGATTGTTTGTTGTATATCTTACTCTTATTTTTGTATCTTGATACATATAGTATCCTGATTGATTTGGCGTTTCATGCCTCATCAGGAATTGATAGCCGCTCTGCTCTCTTGTGCAATGTTTTGCTTGTTTCCCACTAGTGATAGGGATGTGAGATGTCCTCCAATCATCAATTTCGATGTATTGTTTGCGTAAGTACTTTGTGCTGGCTCTTAGACTCATTCTTTATCCCTGGAGGTTTATGGTATTATATGATTATGCTATATTCTACTTGATTGGATGGCAAAATTTAGTTCTGCATATGTACGCATCTCTTCTTTAATGATCACTGAATGGATTCTGAAAGTCACGCACAGAAAACTATGTACATTTAGATTCTGACAGTTATTTTGAAATTTTGTAGTGACTTAGTCCCTACACTATATTTGTAAGTGCACTTAGACATTCATGGACTGTATTGTCCTGACTTTGTCATTTCAGTTTTATTCAAGCAAATGAAGTAAAGTCGCACTTGACATAATATCTCTTAGATAACAACTGGTGCAGGACAGATTTAATTTCAGTTAAACTTTCTTTCAAGCATTATGCTTTATGTGTATCTTTAGGTTTGCTCTGAAAAGAAAAGGTCTCATTAGCTAGTGGCCTATGAAGTTTCATTTCCTTGGCATAAGGCAAGCAACTTTTAGTTTTTAGTCATGTATGTATATGCTGACTCTCAATACTTGCTTTAATTAATAATTATAATTGTTAATCTGAAAATATCTTGCCACAAATGTATATTTACATTGTTATATGATCATTAGTAGCAACAATTATCTACCTACTAAATTTCTATTTATAATACAGATGAAAAACTTTGAAGACCAAAGTTGTAACTCTTATGTTTTGCCTTAGATTTTGTGATGCAGCATATGATGAAGCTGGACCCATCTGATAACAGCCTACAGTTTTAAGAATCCTGCACTACCTATATAACCAGCTTTATCACCGCAAAATTCATCAGTTGAAAGCCTATTCTCAATTGCATGGAAATTATTGTATCTCTGCTCATATGGCCATATAGCACCCATGGAACCATGAACCCATCATGTCCCGGTTCATGTGACTTTCTTGTCCTAGGTCATGATTGTATGTGACTCATATCTCTAGTAAAATCAATAAAAAGCTAAATATACAAGAAAATTCCTCAGTTTTAACATGAGGAGGAGGAGAAGAGGGAGCAAGAGGAGAGGGAAGAAAAACTAACCAAGTGCCACCCAGTGCCACCCACCATTCTTTCTTGTTGTTGTTTGCATATCCACCATCAATGTTATGAGCCTCTGCTACAGGTGAGGGTATGGTGGGGAAGGAGAGACTCTCTCTCTCTCTCTCTCTCTCTCTCTCTCTCATATCTTTGGGATTTCAACGATGGCTTGGCTTTTCAAACCCAGCAGCTTAATTTTTTGAATTAGAGCTGTGACTAACACCTGCCTAATTAGATGTGGCCTGGCCCCATTTAAGGAGGCCACACTGATGCACAACAGGTACATGAATAAGTAACCCATAAATGGGTAATTAAAATATTTTAAATAAATCCTTAATAATTGTTTTCCTTTTACTTTTTATATGTAGTTTCATATAAAAATTATATGCTACATTTGCTCTTTGTTTGTCAATTTATTTCTTACATAAGGCATATGAGTTGATTATCCTGAGTAAAGGAGTGGCGTATGATATATTATATCCATATATAATAAACAATCCCAAACAACTTAAAGTAGCATACCAACTAGGGTTACTCTTTTTACTATGTATCAAATAAATTATCGTACTGCATTTCCATACCCACAATCATGGCCTGACATGGCTAACAATTTTTAATCATCTCACTGTTGAAATTTACAGCGTGAGTCAACCTCACTGATGTTGAAATGCGATTTAGCATCATTCAGAGGTATAGATAAATAGGATGAAGGCACAGTTGACTTCTGAAACTTGCAGTTTTCTACCAGTAGCTAGGCAGTTTAATTGGCTTCAATCATTTGTCCATATTCCTAAGTATATTACAAGGAGATGATCCTCAAAACTGCTGATCTTCCATTCGCTCACCTTATAGTAAGCCTGACCTTGATGCTTATTTCAAGCGTGTTTGCAGCATATCTCATAGATGATTGCCTTTATAATACCTTACAATTGACAGTAACCATCATCTTATAGTGTTTATATTTATTCTGTTGGTAAGTTATCCAGTAACTTCGTGCTCCTGATTATGCGAAGTCCTCTTTTCCCCATCCTACTCTCTTGTGCAATCCCCATTGTTTGTATCTCCTTTTTTGATTTGATGATTTGACGTGTCCTTATCATATTGGATGTGATGTGAACTGTTTCACTTTTTTAGTTATTTAATTGCATATTTCTGCCATGTTGATATTGAAATGACTGAATATGTCAATTTTTTTAGTTCACTTAATCGTAATGGAAAACACTGTCAAGAACAGAAAGTAAGATGCCTTGTTCACTTCTTTGAGAGGATATGCTTAAGAATGCCCACTGGATATGTTTCCTTTGAGCGAAAAGTTCTTCCTCGGGAAAGCAGTGATCACGGCGTTACATATCCTACATCTGCTAACTGGAGTACATCTACTGTTCCTCTGTGCTCTTTTGAGGTAAAATTGTGCTGTGCATCTGAATTCTTGCATCAACAAAGCATGCTAATTTATAATGTGCATCTGAAATTCTCATCATATCTTTTTCTTTATAGGTCTTTTCCTCAGGCTCGATCGAAGATCAGCCACATGAAGCTATTGAAGTAGATTTTGCAAATGAGTATCTTGGAGGAGGTGCCCTTAAATGGGGCTGTGTGCAGGTTTTCCTTCTTGAACTTTTTGCATAAGTCATATTATCTGCCAAAGTCAGTCTAGTTGCTTCTTTTGATTCTGCTTGGTGGCAGTTACTATTTGCAATTTTATAGTCTGGTTGTTGGATAATCTAGTAATGCAATTAAAGCATGGATTTATGGCTATAAATAGGTGATAGCAGGTTTAAAGCTTATATAGATGCCTTACAATTATCATTAGTCTGATGTTGCTCAGAGAGATATATCCAAAACCAATTAGCATTTCCTTTATATATCTTTTAAATGACAATATGATGAGCCACATTGTATCATACAATTCAAGACTAGACACAATTTCGTGAGCTGCATCCTTTTGTTGTCAATGCTTTGAATTTTAGCCATTGATGAAATTTACTGTCAGCATATATCTTATACTTCAGAATGCAAAAGACTGTCCTTGAGGGATATCATTAAAATGAGCCTAAATGATGGAAATGCAAACAAGGCTAGCTTAGGTTCTCATTTTTAGCTAGGACCACAACTAGTTTATTTTTGTGGATAGAAGGCATGCCATTGGCAAGGTCCGAGCAAATCCTCTATCAGAGGAAAGTTGTTTATGGCATGGTGAAGATGATAACTGCAAAATGCATAGGAACATGGGCTTGTTGGTACGTGAAGTAGCTGATGTCGAAGTAATTAATAGACATATGGCTGATGTAGTTGGGGAAATTTTTTAAGGTTGAGTATGTTACTTCTTTAGTAAAGACGCTTTTGATTGTGTCTTTCTGTGCTTATAGAGGAAACTCTACCTTTAACCTTTCACAAATTTAGTGTTTATACTTTAAAACAAGGTTCGCTGTATCATATCGTTCCGACGTTTCGACCCGGGCTTGGTACGGTACGGTACGGTACCGGTGTACTGGGCGGTACATCAGGGCGTACTGAGCGGTACACCCTGGTGTACCGAATAATTTTATACTTTTTCATACTGTAGCAATGCTACAGTATAGTAATGTAGTACTGTAGTAGTGCTACAGTATAATACTATAGCACTGTAGCGGTACTGGACGGTCCGCGTACCGGTAACCTGTCGGACCAGTACGTACCGCCCGGTACGGGCGGTATGCTTCGGTATGGCAGACCTTACTTTAAAGTACATAGAGGTGCTACTATGTTAGACTTGTGAGCTGCATTAAGTGGCTTGAATTATTCAAGTTTTAGGCTTCTGGCTGTAGTTTTCACCAGGATAATGTTCAAATTTGGGCCAAACCCAAATTCATTGTGAGATTGTTGACCTTAGCTCATAAGGTAGGTTTGTTTATGTTACACCTCTATGGCCTGGGTGATTAGGACTTTAGTCATGGAAACAATATCCAAGCAAGGATGCATATAGTGACCCTCTATAGATGCCACATTGGCAGTAGCCTAATGCACTAAGTCATTCTTCTTTGTTTAATTTTTTGGGCATTTAATGATTTATAGCTTGCGTATAGTCCAATAAAAACCATCAAAAACTTATGAAATGCAAGATATTCCATATTCAGCTTTATCAGAATCCATGGAATACATTTTTGGTGTTGGTCTTCATATGTTTGTTAAGTCTATGTAGTTTTGATTTGGGTCATGCCAGATCTAGAGTTCTTCTTGTGAGTATAGCAATGTGTTGGAATTTTATCATTGAAATACAATTTTAGCCATTCTCTTGGGCCTTAGGCCATACTCTAGGCAGTAAACGAGGATCAATGTGCTTGACTATGCTCAACCACCCTTTATATGTGTCACACCCCAAGTGCATTTCTCACATAGAAATACTCAGAATGTGGCAACAAGCATGTATCCCAAGTGCATCTCTCATTTAGTATTTTATAGACCTTTATATTGTTTACAATTGTCTATTTTGATTTATCAGGGAAGGTCTCTTGCGTGCTTAACACGAAGGTTTGTGCAATATCAGAGTTAAATATGCTAACAGAGCAAGAGCAAGGCTCAGTTTCGTATAAGAAAATGTTGCAATTTGTATTGCCTCTCTAGATGATAGATTTTCATTAATCTATAACTTATTTTTCAAAAGAAACTGTATAATTTGATTGTATATAACTAGAAAAGGGGAGAAATTAGGTTTAAATAGTTTTTCTAAAATTTTCTAACATTATTTTAGCATGTACCGAAATTCAGTGCATACTGGTGTATCAACACTCGGTACACCAATCTGGACTGGTGCTACACTGGTCCCCGCAATTACTGGTACAGCACCAGTACCTGAAATGACGGACCTTGGTATGAAAAGCCAAAAAACAAAGGTGAAAGGTGGTTCTTGAGTGTTGTAGCTTTTCTATTTTTGTAGCTATTGGTCTGAAATAAGTGCTTTATGGTAATAAATTTTTCTTACTGTGGGTGCTTAAATAAATGATATATATGTTCATCTTGCCACTGGGCCATCCATCTGTGTAAACTGCAAAATATCTTTAACAATCTAACGGCTGTCTCACTGCATTGTCAAACAGGAAGAGATCCAATTCATGATAAATCCAGAACTAATTGTTGGCATGCTTTTCATGGCATGTATGGAAGATAATGAGGCTATTGAAATTATTGGTATTGAGAGGTTTTCCTGTTACATGGGGTAGGTACATAAATGTATAGATTATCATGTTTGTGAGTTGCTTATGTACACTCAAACAAGAATAAAATTTACTATGTACATACTTATTTACTTTGTTGAGTCCGAAATATTTTGTAGGAATGTTGCTATTTTGCATTTCTAGTGAAAACCATGCAATAGCTTACTTGGTTCTTTTTTTTTTTTGCTTTTACAAATGTGATCTGATTAAAATCGATGAGTCAAGCTAAGCCAAGATGGTTACCTGAAGTGAAAGAAAGGCCATGCCATCAAGGCTACCTGAAGTAAGAGAAAGGCCATTTGATCGATGTGGAGGCATTATTGGTGAGAAATCCTGTAGCTTGAACAGACCTGTCATCAATCAGGGCAACAGAAGCTACGTGACTAGAAGCTGTAGGAAGCACTTAAGAAAGCAATATGCTCACCATGATCTATCCCGAATTTGATTGGCGAGAGTGTTGCACAAAAAATAATAATAATAATAATAACGTGATTCAGCAATAACTTTGCAACTACTTTTACCAATGCACGTGAATTTGACCAACATGTGTCATCTTGGACAATAATATACTATGTTCACCATTGAAGAAGTACTTGCTACATGTTAATTTCAGTATGCTAATGATTGATAAACCCACTTGATTTTCACAAGATTGATATCATAGATATTATTCAATTTATGATCAAAATTTGAGTTGTATTAATATTTTTTAGCCCTATTTTTGTTGTAGGCTGGATTAGGAGTGTCCTTAAGCCATTAGGAGTTGTGTCAAATGGTTCTAGATGTATCTTGAAATAGGATTATTGGGTTTCTGATATTTTCATAAAAAAACCTCTTCTCCCATTACTTATCTTAGTTCTTTTACATGTATATGACACATTTTAAGCCCTAAGGTTTAAATCTTCGTATTGGCTATTTTATAATTGTAATCATTTTGTTATAGTTCAGTAAATTCTGTCATTCTTTTTCTAATCCATTGTTGATTGGCCCATATTCTTCAGATTTGATAATATCTTTATGGGCGGTTTGTAGCCTATCATATTTGTTGATTTGTGCTTCTTTGTGTCTTGTAGTTTTTCCCAAAAGTTGGGTTGCCACATGCATATGTTGGTGATTGTTCATTGCCAGCTATGTTTGATGGAAATCTGATAGTTTTTAATGCATTGCAATCACTGTCAAAGAGGACGAAATTTAACCTGTGGTTGCATAAGTACCTATTTGTTTATAATTTGGATATTCCAAAACGTATTGTGTTATTGTAACCTCTTAACCCTGCATATTGTAGAGCCATAAATGCCAGACTAACTTTACAATATATATCTATGCTAGTGTCATGGTGTTCGTGCATTCTATATATTTATTATCTCATTTTCTTTGTTACTTGCATGAAACATATCACAGCTCTCCTGGGGATCTCCCTAATTCTTTGTCACTTGTCGTCTCTTTGCTTGATAGATATGGTTCCTCATTCCGATTTGTTGGTGACTACCTGGATAACAAACCATATGATTCAATAGGCAGACGGAAAACACGGATTGCTGCCATAGATGCTTTATGCAGTCCGAGAATGTGGCAATATGAAGTTGAAGGCCTTGTACGGTATGCTAACTTTTACGTGGAATATATTCTTATGAATTATTTTTTCTCTATTTCAGAGATAAATCTCATTATCAATTTAGTAGTCTCCATGCTTTATTCTATTGCTGTTATCTTTTAGAACTTTCCTACCATCATAAACATATAGTTTTCAGAATCAACATTTGTTGCTTTGAGGTTACATCTCATATTTATTCATCTCCATAAGAAGATTTTTGCTATACCAACGGAAGAATAATGACGAGGAGTTAGTCAACTTGTTGCATCTCATAGCAATACAATTCCTCACTGGAAAGTGCTAGGCATAAGTGGCAGTTGTGTGTCGCTTGGTCCTGTAAGTGCCTAGGATCTTTCGTGTCAACATACAGTGAATGGTTAACAACTTAACATACATATGTTAGATCCTGATATACTCTGCTATACAAATTCTGGTGGTCTAGCAAATATGGTCTGGTAATCACAAGAAACCCATGATTGACTCCATCTAGATCTTGTACTCTGATGTCACTAAATTACAGACATATTGGGATCAATTCACTCGTATGACTTCTGTAACGACCAAGGTCTCACCTAAATTGCTTGTGGGAGTTACTATTTTGGGCACCTGGTCCTACAAATACTCAGCATCTTTACAAAGTGTATCAAATGTGCCACCAAACACACGCCACTAGATTCCTGGAAAATTTATACCTAGGTAACCAAGAACACCACTAAGACCTCTAGGTAACCAAGCCATGTCTGCTTAGGCTGGATTTCATGATGGCATCATCATTATATCTGCCTAGAATAACAAAAAGAAACAACAAACAATTATTTACTATTCAAATATCATAGTAATGACATCAACTTGAGTCTGTGTGAAGTTGTCCTAGTAGATAATACCTACTGTATAATGCACTCTGAGATCTTATTAACTAGTACATCATAAGTATGAAGGAAAGTGAAGACGGATGCAGATTCCAATAAAAATCTTATTAACTAGTACATCATAACCAGGGTCCAGAGAAAAGCCTGAAATTGTTGTACTTGCATTTGTTATTATTATTATGAATTCTATCCAGCAAACTAATTTAAATAGGAAAATATTGTGTGAAAAAACATAAGATTAGATCCTTAACCATGGTTTCCCTTGTTTTGTTCATTTCTTCTTTTCCTTCTTTATAATGCATGCGAAGGTTCAAACAGAATCTCTTACTCAAGAATCAAGTTTCTTGAATTTAGAGTGTCTGTATCTCAGACTAATTAATGTTATTTGTGATTCATTTCTGAGAAATCTGCATTAAGTATCAGGAAACATTAAGTTGCAGTGTTTTTGTTTTTCTGTAGAGTAACAAATGAAGGTGAAAGAAGTATGTCTCTTATAGTACATCCTGTTTAGTCCTTCCTGATAAATTTATTAAAGATGAGTTTATGATAATATTTGTTCGTCACTTATATTGGTTTATTATACCTTTTCTTATGCAATTATTTCTGTTGATTAGGGAGACAAACAAGGCATTCTGTGGATTCTTGGACCAGTCAGTGTACAAGCGTCGCCTAAAGGTTATTTCGAGACGTTAGTTTATGCAAAAATGATATTCGTCTATCATTTACAGCAATGATGAATTTCCTAATGCAACCTGCTATATTTATCCCGCCAGAAATTTTAGCAAACAAAGATCCAGAGAAAACACACATACTGTTTAATGTTCTCAACATAATTTATCTTTGCTGAAAGCCTGAAATGACATTGAATCAATCATACTGGGTTTCACAAAATCTGCATAATCTCAGTATCTTTGGGGCCAAAAACGTTTGTTGTTTTCCTGTACCTTCTATGTTTTTCCTTGTTGAAGTTTTTCTCTGAAGTTGAGTTCTGACTCCTTAAGTGTTTTAATGTTCTTACATTGAAATTTCATCTTTTTTCCTTCTGTACATGCTGGAACCCTTTGCTATTCTTCATTATTGCTTTTGCATATTTGTCAGTGGTATGCAAATAGTTCTAACCAAGAGATGAGCACTGGGATTTCTGAAAATGAAAATAGAAGTGAGGTTGAAGGAAATAGTGACAGTGAAAGCTCCCAAGTGATGGACTCACAGGATAATGTTGGAATTGCAACTGGAAACTGGGGATGTGGAGCTTTTGGTGGTGATCCTCAAATAAAGAGTATAATCCAGTGGCTTGCTGCATCACAGGTACTTTCCACTAGTGGTTGGAGTTTTTCCCCTTTGAAATTACATAGCTTGGGAAACTTGATAAATGTGTATATCTCAATTCTGTAACAGCTTATAAAATGTGACCTAGTATAAACATGGAGCTGCTTGCACTGCATTTTGCCACATAGAACTGCAAATTTGTGATATGCCGACTTTAACTTGACATCCTTGGCCATCTTTTTTTGTGCTGTCTTGACTAGAGAAATCTCAGACTGTATTAAAATGTTTTGTAGAAACATTCTAATGTTTATTAGATAAATCCAGGGATTACCATAGTCATGGTTTTATCTGTAGATCTATCTGGTCATATTGTATCGGATGTACATTTTGTGAATTCTATAATATTTTCTTCATATCACTTTATTTTAACCTTTTAAATTTTAATTCATTTCCCTGATGCAGGCATTAAGACCCTTCATCCATTATTACACATTTGGTGAAGCAGCTTTGCAAAGATTAGAAGAGGTAATTTAAGTCTAAAGGCTACTCTTGATGTCTGAATGGACAAAAAGAGAGCCACTATATTTCATACTGCCTCTTTTTGTCAGAATTCTAATCTTCGAGGGTGACTATGTGTTGACCACTGGAACAGGTGAGACAATGGATCTTGTTGCATGGATGGACGGTTGGTGACTTGTGGAACATGTTAGTTGACTACTCTGACCAAAGGTTGAACCGCAAAACTCATGTTGGATTCTTTGCCTGGCTCCTACCTTGTAATAAACCCAATGATGTGCCACACACATCTGAAGAGTGAGTTCTTCAAGATGCTATTCAAAAATGGTATTTTTCTTTCTCCAAATTAGTATTTGTTTCAAAGATAACCTCTGCAATGGTTTCATTTGATTTATTGCAGTTTCACTTTGTCCCATTTAATTAAGACTGGTTTCATCTAGGTTGAGTTGAGCACCCAATGATATTGGTGTGGCTCAGTCTTTTGGCAATGATCAAGCCAGATGAATGAGCCAGATTTACAAACCTTCCATATTTAGTAACTTGGTGTCACAGAGAGCATTAGTTGTAGATTGTCTCCATGCCTCTGGTTAAATCCCTTGCTGCATCAGATTAAACTGCGCCTATTAGACAAATTCTTGATGTCATTTTGCTTGAAACCAACCACTTGTGCCATGTATACTTCACTTACCTACCCCTGAGGGAATCAGTTTCATTCATGCTTAACAATGTCATGCATTTTCACATTGGTATCTTGAATGATCACTTTCCGTGCATCGTTCTTGTCTTTGATCTTTTGAGAGCTTGCTCAGTGGGATCAATAATAGTAGAAGTCCGAGATTAACTTCATATACTTTGATTTGGTATATTGAGTGGCTTCAACTTCGTTGTAGTTCCCATCCTGTTGATATGATGGAGGTTGTTATAAAAAAGATGAATCTGATCACTTTGGTAGCAAAAGAGCAACTTTATCGTTACACTAATTTGGTTGAGAATGTTCATCAACAATGTATTGCTGCTGTGAGTTTGCCACAATACATCCACACACCTCACATCCTTACATGGGTTGCTTATCCAAATTTCTTCATTCATTGCAGCTCCTCCTCCATATGACAAAAAGAGAAGTCAACTTCATCTTCTGATTTCTGCTACTTGTGTCTCCAATTGCTGTTTTGGTTGAAACAAGTCATGGTGGGATTCAGCTATGCGCAGCAAAATGACACCAGAATATGTAGGCAAGTACAAGCCAATTTAACTATAAATGCAATAGTATTCTTTAAGATGATGACAGCATATTTGTATCTTCTCTTAATAATGGGGACTTGATGGGAACATCAACATACAACAACATTATGGCAGACAATTGGCATCAACATTGTTGGAAATCTGCCACCTAACTTGGCTTTCTGCCTCTTAATTGCTCTAAGGGTTACTTGAAAGAGTCCAGCCAACAAGGAACTTGAGAAGTTTTAACTCAATTGCTCTAAGGGTTACTTTCTTATCACTCTCACAAGAGGTGTAATCATACCAGCACTAACTTAGCACCAAGTTAAACATGCAAGCTCAATTGGCAAACACTTTAACAGTATATATATATATATATATATATATATATATATATATATATATATATATATATATATATATATATATATATATATATATATAATCTTAGCATTAATATCAACATGAATACTGTTGGGGGAGTATTTCATATTTGATGAGATATCATTTTTTCTTTTACTAAGAGATCTTGACTTTGTTCATGTTCTACGTATACAATTCTTTTTTATTTCAAACAATATAAGAGGATATATACATCTTTTATAAATATCTTCTAGGATCAATCATACTTCTCTTCTAGTCTTAGCTTTAGAGATCCATGAAATAATGCTTTTATCTAGCAATAATTGAGTGATAAGCTTCATTGCTCTTTTATCTTATTCTATATTAAAAATGAACTATTCTTTTGGTTCTTTGGAGAGTACTATAAGATCTCTGTCATCTATCATATCTTTAAAATCATCAAAGATATTTTTTTTTAAGCCTTACGATCTGAGAAAAGTTCTCATCATGGTTTTCCATCTTCATTAATATTTTTCATCAAATCTTGATAATAACGGAATCCAAAATAACTTATAATAGTATATTTCTATACTTTTAATCTTTTTTAATCTTTTATTTTTAAATGATCAAACTTTCAATCTACCTATCTTTGTCTATCAATTAATTGGTGTCCTAGTGATCTATTCCATCGATCATCTTTCTCCTACTGCAATCTAATATATTGATTGCCTTCTTGATCATTGTAGCTCCTCTTATTTGATAGTTGTCACAATCAAATATGCTCTTCATCAATGTTGTGAATAAGTCTTCACAATATCATTTTAAGATATCTTCTTTTCGTTCCTCTTCTTAATAGTTTATTTCTCCCAAGTTTTCTCTCTCTAATTTTTTTTTTCTTTTTATAGTTTCTCTCTTCTTGGATTTTTTTTTTTTCTGTAGTTTTGCTCTCTTTGGTTTTCTCTCTCTATAGTTTTCCTCGCTTTGGATTTACTCTCTCTATAGTTCCTTTATGCTTGGATTTTCTTTCTCTAAAAATGCTCTTACATTTTTTTTCTTTTTTCACAATGATTGTTCTCTCTCTTGATCTATTTCTTCGAGATCTAATTTGATATTTAAGATCAAACATGTTTTGATACTAATAAGGTTATTTAATCTCACGTTGCGGAGTATGAGAACCAAGGACACATAAATTTACCGGATCTCTTTTACTCTCAAAAGTGTTTTTTAAAGTTCACGAGCTTTGAAAGGGTAAAATTGTACGGGTATACCCATCGTCGAAAGCGAACAATTCCTTACGAACCTACGAGTCACACTAATGATCAATCGACCGAATGGTCCCTTATCAAATACCATATTAGAAAATCTCTTGAAGAGATAAAAATTATACACATCTTTTTTATGATACCTCATCTCTCTTTCCAATTGTGTATACAAAGTTTACATGAGTCTCTAATTATAGAAAAGTAAACTCAAGATTTTGACTCTAATTACCATAGGAAAATTTATCGTTACTAAAACTTTTAAATTAAAATCATATTTAATTATAAATTTTAATTTTATATTGATGTTCTTCCCACCCGCGAGTGTGCCCCGTAAATGATGCCAATGCTATGCTTCACCCTACCTACCAAGAATTCAGGTTACATGGGTTAGATGTGTTGCAGTAGCAGAAACCCACAGCCCAAATCCCATAGGAAATGTCGAGAACAATTCTCGGATTAGGGTTTCGAGGTGAAGAAAATGGGGTGTTCGATGGAATGCCAACCTTGCAGCATACCGCCGTGACGTCCTCGTCTTTGGACGCACATTCTCGTACTCGAGTCGCGTTTATATCTGCTGCTGGTAGATTAATTCCAGAGAATTACCATGAAATATCAAGTCGAAAGATCTTGTGTTCGAGGTATGAACAGTCATCTACGATGATACTCGGAAGCGTCTCTTGGGATCCGTCGACAGGAGGAAGCATGTCAAACTCACATTGATCGATGCACATGCTTGGCCAAAACTTGCCATCAAAGAACGACGAGTAGAACGTTAGCAAAATGTGCACATGGCCATGCACCAATCCCCAAGAAGGAGGAGGAAGATGGAGCATGGAAGGAGGAGGGGGTCTGAAGAGATCACACACACTTCCCAAAGGTCGCTATGTGTGACGTTGACATGTCTTGCAATGAAGTCAAAGCACTTGAGTCAGCAGGGTCAGGGTAAGGATCGGTCACCTCGGTAGAATACTCTTCGTGTGCGTCAACTTAGCTCTCCCCTCCTTCTCTCTCTATAAGTAATAATAATAATGATATACCCATATACCTTTGCATGTCGCAGCTGAACATTTATATTGAAAGGTCATGTCGTACTTCTAAGCTGCGTTCAAGTTACAATTTGACTTGACTATCTGCAAACTAATCATTTATATCATGTACACATGCAATTATATCTCTACATATATATTGCAAGTGAACTTTTGGATTAAGATGTCATATGTGGTACTCATAAGAGGTTGCACGTTAAAATTGGATTTGATTATTTGCAAGCATATCATTTACTCTCTCTCTCTCTCTCTCTCTCTCTCTCTCTCTATA